CGCACCAAGAAAAAGTCGTTTGTGTTAAACTGAGTATATTTTATTATTAGAGAAATACATGTCTTTGTTAAATTCCTCCCCCTCCTCCTCATTGCCCTTTTAATTAATCCTGCAGTGCAAATTTAGTTTTTGCTGTAAAACCAAGTAAATGAAGTGTGCATAATGATTTTGTTAAATCTTAAAACTGCTCTATTAATTAATTGGCAATTTGCTCAGCATACCACAGTCTACTGAAGTGACACTATTGAATAGCTAAAAAGGAAATGCTTTTTACACTACAGAAGAAAAGGGGAATCTAAGAAACATCATCCCTCTGTGAGAAGTAGGGAAAAAAATGACTTGTTTTAATGGGACTGGGGAGAGGTTTAGACTCCCTCAATACTTCTTAAGTAGATTTTAATATAAAAAAGGCTGACATGTGGCAATACAGCTTCAATACTGTGACATCATGACTTGGTCTCTCTTGACTTGCACGGTTTCTGGAGAAGCATGTTACAGGGATTAAATCCCTTTGAATACTAATGTGTTCCTCTTTTGAACCACAAAGAATATTAATCCTCCTCCCCTCATCTACCAACAGCTGCACTGGTTTTCCTTCTTGACAGGGTGGAACAAGATAGCATGGCATGATTGACCTGAATGTAAATATTGCTATTTGTTTTTCGAACTGCTTACTTGTTGTGGAAATTTAACTAATTTGCCATCAGGTTCTCAACAGCATGAACAAGAAGACAGTTTAGGCACCTAGAAATGCATTTCTTAGCAATTAGATCCAAAACAGTTATAGAAATAATTAACTTATTAATAAATTAACACTGAATTCTGTCAAACATTTAGAGTGGCTGATACAGGACGTCAGACTGGAATGTTCCCAGAGAAAGGGCATGCATGTGCGTACACAAATACGCATGCATGTATAAATATATATAGGTATGGGAACATCAGCGTTAAAGTGAACAGCCACAGTTCAGCTCAGGCATGATTCCAGCATATCTGGCTGGTTACTAGTTCTTAGTTGATGCATCTCAACTCTACACAACTCTTACGCATCCTCTTTGTGCAGTTTCAGGAAGGACACCAATTTCAACAAAAGCTAGATAACATAAAAGAGAATATGCAGACTTACCATAAAAAATAATCCACTTAGTTCCCATTATCAAAGTAAGTATTTTCATACATTTCAAGAGTCAGGTCAACTGCCACAGTGCCTTTCATTCATATATAAACATACAATTGAGTGATAAGTCAATACAAAGCTTGGCATCCATATAAAATCCTTTAGAGTCCCAAACTTCAAAGTAAGAAACCCCATCATATTTACCATTCTGGGTTTTCACAGACTTTTACCAGTATTTTTACCTTCCTCTATTCTTTAAAACATGTAGAAATATCATCATGGCAGAAGTAGATTATATATAGATTAATAAGGAACTAGCATAGTTTATATTCAGAAGAGATTACACTGATGAATTAATGCAAGTTTCCAATCCATTAAAAAATCCACAGAAGTACCATCACCTTTCTGACACCATAGTACAGCATGGAATCCTCTGGCATACAATTAATGCACACTATGATGATGCACGTTACAAGAGTCATGGTACCATTCAGAATGCCTAACACAGGTATGCTTCCTTTATTTCTGTAGTGCAAAAAAAGTATTTCCACATGACCTATTGAACGTACACATAATCCTTTCAATTCATCTTGGGTTCTTATTAGAGATAAAACCCTTGGTTAACTTATATTTTCTATTGAGGTACCATTAAATCCAAGAACATAAGTGTAACAGTCTGCTAAAGGCATGGAAGCTCTTCCCCCAGGGTAAAAACAGTAATTCAAGGTACCTTGATTGTGCGCTGGTGGAAATGAAATTTGAGATACAAATCTGCACACAAACTGTTATGTGGCAAGTTGTAGTAAAGCACCTTGCTAGCCTGTCCCCCATTAAAAAACAAGCACATCCCATGTGCTAAGAAAAATGCAATCTGAGGAAACAAACCCAGGAAGGCATGGAAGATGACATCCTTTGGACTCTACAAGAATTCAAACGCATTAAAATATCATGCTCAGGTGGAAGATAGATTTTTCAGATGATACTAAATAGAAAATTTAGCATATAGTTCTACTACAATAAGCAGGTTTAATACTGAAATCATACTCAGTTCTCTATAGTTTAAAAGGTCAACACCTCAAGAATACAAAACCTTGGGAACTCATAGGTGTGAATTTTGTAGAATTAATCTAATCATGTCCTAAGTCCTTGTTTTCTAGCAATTAAAATACATCAAATAGCGTTTTAACAAAAGAACATCAAGCTTGTGAAACAGTGTTGGGAAGGCTTGGAATGGCTTTGTCCAGAATCTCGAGTAAGAAAAAGTGAACTAGATGTCCTTCTACCTCTGTGTACCTAAGAATACCGTACCTGTCCTCTACTAACATTAGTCATAACTTGATGTTCTCTGGTGTAGTAAATTGGACTTAAAGTGAATACAGGTGGTATCAAATATCCACTTCATTGCATTTCACAAGTTTGGCAATTCAAAAAAAAAAAATTAAAGCAAGTAGTTATCTAAGCAATCTGTAGAAGTTAAACATCATACTGTTTAGTGGCTCTTCATATAGCAGCACACACAAACTTTGATGTGCTCTCAATTCAAAGAAAGAGGAGGCAGAAGGGTGAGAAGAGAAAGAAAAGTGCCTCACATAGCTTAACCCTGACCCATTCCAGCAGTTAAGGAGCAGCTTGGAACAACTCCAAAGACTAAAGCAGCTCCCTTTCTAGTTCTGCTTGGACAGATGGAAGATAACCATATTTCAGGGTTTCAGAGTATCTGATAACCATGTTTGAGGGTGTGAAACTCCCTGTTTAGCTTTACAAAAATAAAACAACTTATTTGCTTTTTTCAAAGCCAGTTTTGATTAAAATGCTCTAAACAAGGTGGAAAAAAGAGAAAGAAAAGGGCTCTAAACAGAACGGAAAAAGAGAAGATAAAGAAAATGGAAGTGCTCTCAATCTGGTTGTCGTAGTAGAACTATCCTGCCCTTCATGGGAACCCTTGTCCCACAAGTTGTATGGACTTTTTACATAGCTGAATGCAATTATTCCATCTCCTTCTGGAGGTTCAATCAACATATAGCTTAACTTTTGAAATTACTGTTTTCAAACATGGTATTTAATGAGTATTTAATGTTTTTGGAATGCACACACAAAATTGCCAACATATGAACAGTTTCCATTAATTAACATTTAAAACTAGACAAATTCATCAAATCTAAGTAATTTAAGAAAACTACATTACATAGTAAAAAGCTGTCTTATATGAAAAGAAACATACAAAGGCCTACAATAAACTCTCTTGTTATCCTTTCCAAAAGCCTCAGCAACTGCAACAATGTATGGAACAAAGAGAAACTGAGCACTGGAAAAAAAATATATATAAATAACATGTTGGATACCCTCAAACCTTAGTATGATGTATGACTATTAAATACATGCCTCATGCTACTTATGAGTCTAAAAGCAGTGTCCTACACCTTAAAGTATTTTTACCCTCTCATCTGGCGATTTAGCTCTCTTGCTTTATCAGTCTAGGCAGAAAATATGCAGACTTGCTATCACTTTCTTAAGAAGACAATTGTAGACAAGTTTTGCAGAACTGTTCTCCCAGGTATGCTGATTTTTTCAGGTTAAATTCTACCTGGTTTGCTTTTGTATCAGCTCTTCTGTTTATTGACTGTTAATATAATGAAACTTTTATTTACATTCCTTATTTATCTGCTAAACTTTAGTAATACTTATGCACACTATGTTAATGAGATTACAAAACCTTTTAATGAACACCATGAGAAATTGTGGATGTGATACAGGTACACTTATTACTGAAAATATGCTAATATTGCTTCCCATTAATGCTAAAGCCATCATATGAATTAGTATGATAGGAATGTAATGGATGTTTTCTTTAGATTTAAGTGATAGAATCCTACGCTGTCTTTGTCAAAGGTCTGGGGTTCAGTCATCTATTACAGTCCTTTCTGCCACAGACCTGAAATTATCTTTTCGCAAATAAACACTAATATTTTTAAATAAGTTATGTATTGTAAAAACAATTCCTTTAAACTCAGACTTATGGAACAATCAAGGGGCACTGGAGGACAAGAACAGAAAGATTAAAAAAACATCTAGTAAGTAAAGTTAATTTGCTTCACTCTTCACCACTCAGGGTCACCAACACGAGCTATAATAAAGTAATGTGAGGAATGTTTTAACAATTCGTGTCCATAAAGAACAGTCCTGTCTGCCTCTGGGCCCTGCACTGGCAATTTAATTCTTGAACCACAGATGCAGTGTGTCCCAGTCTCCCCCTCATTCTAGTCAATTTATCAAGTCTTCAGAAAATACTCCTCCCATTCACTATTAACAGGAGACACTGCTTTATCCTCAAGGGAATTTCTTTTGCAATTGTCTTATGATTTTAATCTAACTGCCAGAGCATCTCCTACTTTTTGCTGTTAAACTCAGAATCAGCGTAGAGCTTTAACTATCAGTACAAAAGGAATTAGAAGTAGCTCATAAGCAGAAGTTCACTAATAAAAGGAACACTGAAACACACAACTTGAATTTTTCACACCTTACAGTATCGTTAGATAGTAAGCCATACCATCTGTTTAGTGAAATAACGCTCAATGAAATACCAGTTGTAAGCAGGAAGTCAGAGGCATTTACAACCCATATAAAGTTTCCTTCCAGGCAGAAAAGAAAGGAACAGCAGAAGAACTTAAGTTCACATTAATAGCATTAAGATTTTTAAGCCAATACCCTTCTAGTTCTATAAGAGCTATGCAAATCAAAAGTTTCCTTTCTTACTCCTAACCCGCCCTAGATTTTCTTTCTGCTATGAAGGTATTTGCTTAGTTCTGATTCAGAAACTCAGGCAACTTTCTTTTCCAGAAATAATACTGGAAAATATTTACTAAAGGATGAGATTTCAACTTACCTGATGAAGATCATTGCCCAAGACATATTCCTGGAAGTAACCTGGTGCAGCAGATGATGCTCTGATGGCCTGCCATAATTTATATTGACAGCCTCCAATATAATGAGACTTAACCCCAGGAAAGTGATTGTAGTTTCTAAAAACAAATGCTTTGAGTGGTGTTCCTCTGTTTACAATGGTGCTTACTGCTGCTACCTAGGGAGTCAGAAGGAACAAAACTGAGTTATATTACATAATAATATGATAATGACAATTTCAGAAACTATGAAATTCAATTTATAAATTTAATGAGTCTCTGGAATCCTTTGTACATATTTTATTAACTTTTTTACAATACTTATTTAAAATTTAAGAACTTAAAAAAAAACAATCTCCCTAAAGAGAAAGCTTTTTTAAACCTAATATTGTTTCCACTATTTTGTTTCTACTAGTATCTATCCACTGACATTTAAACAAAAGCTAGTGTCATATATGCAATTAAAAAAAGTTCCACCTTCATGAGTAGCAGTTAATGCTAACACTAGAAAACAAAGCCATTCTTTGTTTGCTAGATACACATAAAAAAATAATCCCTGCATATTTATTTTGTTGAATTACTATTTCAAACTCCACGTAATTCAAACTGCTCTAAAAGAAAAATCCTAATGGAAGTGAAAAGCGCACTAGAAGTAGGCCTGTACAATTCTCACACAGTAACGAGCAAACAGTAACTTAGATATGAAATACATATGTAAGAAACATCAATCAATTACTTTCTCCTAGGAAACAATTACTTACCATTGCAACCTCTGTTAAAGGATTGCAGGAAAAATCTCTTCCAAAGGGGGAAAAAAATCTTTGAAAGACTTTCTTTCAAGTTTTTTTGTAAGGACATGTAAACATCATTAAGCCACATACATAAGTTTAAGTGAAAGGCCACAACTGCATTTCCATAAAATGCATGACTGCAGAATTCAGCACATTTTACAGATATAAATGCATGAGGTGGGAGTACCTATAATTATGGGTGAGTGTTAGAATTTGCAAGACCTTTTTGTGAGGATGTACCCAGACTGCCTGGCCCTGTTTAGAACAATACTCTATAGCAGACAAGTGGGTGTTCAATTCTATTTTGTGTACTGTTTTACTGAATATTTTTTTGTATGTGAAACATTACTCAACAACGCTAGCAGCTGATACTGTGATATCGCTGTATCCATTTCCATTATTCAGCTACGTAAGTAAATCATTTAATACACAGCAAGTTCACCTCCTTAAAAAAAGGAAAACAAAAGTATAACTTCTAAATAAAAATGAGAAGGAAAATGAGTGCATGATTTATATTATATCATTTGATGGAGAAAAAAGTTTCCTGTTTTGTCAAAAGAAAAGCCTGGTTCTCATCACCACAGAAGGAAACACTTTGATAAGTTTTCTATTAAGTTTTCCAAACCGATGCCTTTTTTTTTTTTTTTGGTAACACCCATATTCCCCGTTTCTTGAAGTGAAAGTGTAACTTGTAAAATGCTGGGCATCTTTTGGAAAAATCCATCTCTTCCTGAATTTAACAGCATCACAGAACACACAACCGTGTATTTTGACTTTACTGGCCCTGCAAAGAGTGCCAGCACTACAAAGTGATTACTGTGAATAACTAGTTTCAACTCTATTTATATTCATGTTTTATTACTGAAGAACATGGAAGGAAGCCAAAGATCCCAGTTCAAAGATAACTTTCAAGTCAACATAGAATAACTTCTCTCTCAGAAAGTTACATACCACTCCAGCCTTTCCATGTCCTTGTTTTAGGCATGGAGTAGGAACGCGATCAGTCAAGCACATGTTTCTATGTTTAGAAAAATGTGAATGTCTTCCATTTAACAGTAAAGCATTGAATATACTGCTATGACACCAAAACACCTGTTAATTGCAGATTGTTCTGAAATGTGCTATTATATTTCCCTTCTTTCTTCACACCCTATCCTTCACCAAAAATACCAATGCTTTCTCATCTTTCACTCTTGTGCTGCTGAATATAAAACCCCTCCAACTAAATGGTGCCTTTCAGATGATACAGAAAGAATAGAGAACTTAAGGCCTGCAAATGTGAATGGAGAAAACCTGGTAGTCCAGATAAACTGAAAAGAGACTCCTTCCTGTTACTACACAGTAAGATACTGCATTTGACATCATCTCCAGATCTCCATTTGATCTCCAGATACTAGAATTTTCTTGTATCCAAAACCAAATTTTGCACAACTTCAAGAGGCTGACCTAAGTACTCCTCTGCTTACAAACCTGAAACATACTCTATCTTACAGTGTTACCTAAAACCATGAGAAACTGCTAAAGAAATTAAAGTGTCTAGTTAATTTTTGTTCTTTGTAAGCACAGGTTATCTTATACAGATGCTTGCAGAGCTTATCAATACCCTTAGTATTTATCCAATATTCTTCTAGTGATAATACTCGAATCCTGTTAAGTACTTGTGAAGCATACAGGTTGTATTGACCTCAGAACATTGTACGTACCTTCGGACATTTGGAATTTCTTGCCGTTTCAATCAAAAGATTTGAGCCCATTTTTTCTCTGCAAATAAATGTAAAAAATTGAAAGTGCTCCATCAGCTTAGCATGAACAAAAGACATACATTTTTATAACCCCCAACTTCTCTAAGAATTTTGCATTTAGAAGAAACAATGCTTGGATTTCACTTTAATAATCAGAATTCCACAACAAATTTCAAGAGTTAATGAAGTTAACTTCAGTTAACCAGTACTTCATACCTACTAGGCTGTCGGAAGTAAGTCTGAAGAGTGACTGAAGTCTTGATTCAGTTACTCACTTCACTACATACTTAAACAAAAAATCAGTGCATTTTTGTATTACTCAACTACTTTGAAAGGACAGTAAAGTACTTCGCAGCATTTAAGAATCCAAAAATCAATAACCTCATTAGGCAGTTTTACAGGAATGAAACTCTCCTGAACTGTTTTACATTATGCAAAGATAGAAGATATGCACTGTTCTGCATGATTTAGAAGAAAGTTGTAAGCTTATTTTCCATGATAATAATTCGATATACATTTAGTATTCGTTTTTCAGGTGGAATTTTTTCCTATTCAGTTTTCTAATCACTAATTAAAAGGTAGCCCTCCTGCATAATGCAGGACACTGGAGAATATCAGCATACTAGTTAATCTCATAGCAGCATCTATTTCAACTTCCATTTGCTTAGAATCAAGATATAAAAGCCTATAGAGCGGGTGCTCATCCATAACAATTCAGGAGGCTTTCATTTAAAACAGCAAGTTGTTTGTTTTGTTTTTTTTTTCTCAGTATGAGAAAAATTTCTCCAGTTGTTTGTCAAGATAGTATGAGAGGAAAAAATGTGAAAAGACAAAAGAAAACAAAAACTGGAACTATACACCAGATTCTCCTTGTAAATGCAATTCAATACAGCATTACATAGACTGATGTACAGATTATACAGTAGGTATAATTTTCTTCACAAAGTAATTAAAATAACTGATTAAAACCATTCTTCAAATTGTAACAGCAGGAGCCAATAAGAAACGTTAAAGTAAGTTACAATAATATCTAAGACAATCAATTCCCTAATATACTGAATAAGAAGTTAAACAAAATTAGTTGTAATTTTCAGAAATGGAATTTATGATGTACCCCATGAATGAATTCAATATTAGCCTTAGCCTAATGCAACACTAGCTGAATTATTTTCAGCAAGAATACTTCCCCTGGAAGTAATCCCATCAAATGCTAAATGTAAGTTGCATGTCTATACATTGGAAATTTATACTCTATTTCAGGCAACACTGACAAACCTAACTACCATTTAAACAGGAAAAAAAAAAACACCTCAGCATTGCTAAGACTTATATTTAAAGAAAATACAAAGTAGTTTTCCCATGCAATTACTTAAAGTTAGATCTGAGCTTATTTCCATAAAGAGATGCTGTAAGACCTTTCAAGTTCTTTCTTAGTTCTAGGCTGTGAGGAAACCTGCATGAAATCCTACTGTTTCAGTGAAGTGTTGTGTAGGTATAGCATCTCCATTCAACACTGCAGAACTGGGTCAAAGAAGAGTAATTTGTTAATCACTAGATTTTATTTTTAATCTATGAATAATATAATTGCCTCACTTTTGTCCACTGTCCATGAATAGAGTCCTTTACCTCCCTCATGTTATATGCAGCTACAAAGAATAAGAGCATTTTAATTAAAGGCATATGAAATACTTCCACACGAGGTAATCCTGGTCTTTGTAAGACTGTTCCAGTTGGGCAGGGGAAGAAAAAGAAGTATTTATTTGCCTTGCCTCTTTTCTGGAAGAAAGAGGACCTCCAGATATCTTAGAAGAAAAGATACATGATATTGGTATCATTAACATTTAACTTTCCTAAAAATTTGTAAAATCACAAAGAAAAAGTGCTTGGAAGCCTATCTTCACTTCAACAAACCATCAATATTCTTAAACCTCAGGCAGCAGAAGTCACTGTAATTTCCAGAAGAAACACTTTCAATCCCATAAAACGCATTAACCACATTTCCAAATAAACCTGTCACTTCTTATCCAGAGAAGCTTTTTACCGTTTTACATTTGCTCTCAGAGTAAGTTGTTTCTGTTCTTTCAGAATCATTGTTAGCTTCCACTAAAAATTATAAATAACTGAGCTATTGTCATGGCTCTGGCCAGGATGGAGTTAATTTTCTTTGTAGAGGCTCACACAATATTGCTTTGGATTTTTGATGAAAACACTGGTGATAACACACCAATGTTTTTAATTGTTGCAGAGCAGGGCTTACACAGAGCCAAGGACTTTGCAGCTTCTTGTGTTGCCCTGCCAGTGAGGAGGCTGGGGGTGCACAAGGGACAGAACCAGGACAGCTGACCCAAACTGGCTATAGGAACATCCCATACCATGTGGTACCATGCTCAGCAATAAAAGCTGGAGTAAATAAGGAGGGAGACAGGGACATTCAGAGTGATGGTGTTTGTCTTTCCAAGAAACCATTACGTGTGATGAGCCCTGCTTTCCTGGAAGTGGCTGAACACCTGCCTGCTGATGGGAAGCAGCAAATAAATTCCTTGCTTTGCTTTCTTGCACAGCTTTTGCTTTACCTAGGAAACTGTCTTTATCTCAACCCAGGAGTTCTTTCACTTTTAACTTTCTGAATCTCCCCCCATCATTCCTGGGGAGACCACACAACAAGTGGCTGTGTGGTGCTGACCTGCCTGCCAGGGTTAAACCACAGCAACTATCAACATGACTACAAATGAATAAAAGTAATAGAATTTTTAATAAGCATTAGCAATTTCTTCCACTGATTTTTTCCCCCCCCCATATATTTATTAACACACCTGTATACATATCTCTGAACAACTATCTTCTCATTGCTAACTCTAACAAATTGGATATTTTTTCACTGCAGTCCTTACAGCTCTTTTCGCTTTTCAAAGGAAGGGGAAGGAGGCAAGAAAACTCAATAGAGCATCTAAAATTAAAAATGCCTACTACAGCACATTATTTCAGTTCTTGCTATGTCTCCTTAAAAAATAAAAAGGCACAGCATGTGGCTAGTAAAATCTGTAGCAGATTTGTAATGAGTCAGATGAAGCAGAGTTGGCAAACAGACAGGAATATAATCAGAAATCAGTGCACTAAAGCTTGCTTTATTCCCCAGAAACAGAAACCATTACATTAAAGGCTTTAAATGTTTTGGTAAATAGAAAACAGTTATTTCAGAAGAATGAGAATATAGGCTAATCTTTTTTCTTTGTTTTAAGAATTTGCTTACCATGGAAACAATAACAAAAATGAAAGCTCTCAAACTTGCATTAAAAATCAGGTTAAAAATAATTTATTTTTACTTACTTGAGCATTTTTTCCCAGATATCGCTGTCATAAAAGGCATGGCTCCAACCCATTTTGACTGTTCCAACAATTACATTCTGCTTAAAAACGTCTGATCCTAACTTGCGATACAGTTCTTCACAATCATCCAGAGGAATATGGAACAACCCCAACATAAAAGCTAATATAGCTCCTGAAAAGAAGTATTTTGAAGTGTTAAATATAACATGGAATAAGATTACAATGATGGATTACCATTAACATAGTTCATAGGTTAGCAGAACATCTATCTTGAAAAGGGAAGATTAACTGACATTTATATCACCAAATTACTGTTCAAATATCATAAACCGTGCTTTAGAAGGACCTATCTTTCATAAACAGAACGTAGAGAAATTGACAAATGACATTATTTTGTTTTGCAGATTTCATCATTGCAAAAACATACATGGCTGATAGGAAATTAATTCCACTGCTTTATTTGGAAAGAGAAATGAGGAAGAATAATCTATGCTGTAGTATTTAAAAGTATTTGGAGCATTGCTTGCAATCTTCCAAACTCCTTGATTGACTGAAGAAAAAATCTAGGAAAATTCTTTAAGACAACAGGAATTTTGCCTGTTCTTGAATACATTTGGTGGCAACCATTTACAATCAATCACTCAGAGAGACCTTGCAGAGGGATCTAGATAGTTAGGAGCATTGAATGATCATCAACAGCATGAAGTTCAACAAAGGAAAATGCTGGGTTCTGCACCTGAGACACAGCAATGCCAGACACAGACACAGGCTGGGAGATGAGTGGCTGGCGAGCAGCTCAGCAGAAAGGGATCTGGGGGTGCTGGTCGACAGCAGGCTCAATGTGAGCCAGCAGTGTGTCCTGGCAGCCAAGTGGGTAAATCTCATTTTATGATGCTTTAAGCACAGCATGACCAGCCAGTCCATGAGGTGATTCTCCCTTACAAGTAGCATTAACATGGCCCCACCTTGAAGACTGCATATAGTTCTGGTCTCCACAATATAAAAAGTATGTTAAGGGTCTTGAAAGCATCCAGAGGAGAGCACCAAAGGTGGTAAAAGGGCTGCAAGGCTGTGAGGAGAGGCTGAAAACACTTGGGTTGTCTACTCTAGAGGCTGAGGCGTCCTCGTTGCCCTACAACTTGCTGAGGAGGGGAAGCGCAGAGGCAGGTGTCGGTCTTTTTGCCCTCATAATCAACAATGGGATATGCAGGAATGGCACAAAGCTGCGCCAGAGGAGGTTCAGACTAGGCATTAGGAAAATTTCTTACCATGAGGGTGGTCAGACACTGTAATGGGCTTCCTAGAGAGGTGGTTGCTGCCCTAAGCCTGTCTTAAGTGTTCAAGAGACATTTGGAGAATGCTCTCAATAATAGGCTTTAACTTCTGGTTTAGCCCTGAAGTGTTCAGGCAGAGGCACTGGATCTTTGAAGGTCCCTTCCAAAAGATTTTTTCTATTCATACATACTGCCATCTAGTGTGTGCCTAAAAAAGGCATGACCTACCTCTGTAGGAACAAAATTTCCAAAAAGCAAGACTGCAGAATATCATTAAAAAGACTTTTGAAATTTACAATCAATACATTGCTAAAATTCTTAGGAATGTTAAACCGAAAGGGGTGTATACAACCTCTGAATCTAATTGTGCAACGCTGAGATATAACTAAAGTATTAAGAAAAAATAGGACTAAGGTCTTTCAAATTTGGAAATGAATGCAATACATTTGAATAAAGTTCAATCCAAAAGTAAATTCTTGAAATGGATTAAGAATAAAACACACATGCAGAAAGAACTACATACAGCCACAGATGGCTTTAAAGGAAACACCACTTCCAAGCTTCTTCCCTTCTCAGACCCCCCAATCATGATAGCAGTGTCAATGTATCAACAGTCTCCCAATTCTTAAGTGTAGCACACATCCTTAATTTAACCTGGGGCTACCTGTCACATTAAAGTTGTGTCAAGAGAAACTTACTTGACTGCCATATCACAAAATTCAACTCAGACCAAACATCTATCAGCAAAGTTTTCCAAAATAATGCAAGCTCTCTGCTACCTTATTAGTCCTCTTTAGTCTCTAGCACTAATTCTACAATATCATGTACTTACTATTTTCATGAATAGTTTCAAACTGAAGGGCAAACTTCATGCCAAATACAAGCTCATTGTCCTCACCACCACCTGAGAAAGAGCACCAAAACCCTCACTCTGTGTCAGCACACAAGTGGCAGTACGTATTATCAGAGTCAGGTTACATGATAAAGGGCTTTGCTGAAACCTGCTGCATGGTAACAAGACACTCACAGGAGAGCAAGCTTAAAATCAGAGTCCAGGCTCTATCTGATGGCCTAGTGAAAGAGCAGCTCACACTCTCAGTCTCGACTGTCAACACTTCAGGGAAAAAAAAAAAAAAATTAAAGCCTGGGAGTCTAAGAAGCATATCTTGAAGGACATGGGTCACTAATAAGACACAAGACAGATAAGAATATAACCTGAAAGAAGTAGTATTTCTTCCTTATTCAGCACTAATAAGAGTTCAACTGAAATGCTCTATGTTGACTTGTACTATGTTCTTCAAAAAACAAATGGACAAACTGAAAAAAAATCCACAAAAAAAAAGCACAACCACACATCAAGGAAGTCTGTTGACAAGGAAAGCCTGAATAAACTGGGTATAACAAAAGCCTTCATATACATAAGAGGCTAATGCAAAGAGAAAGAAAAACAATGTCCCTGGGGAGTCGGGACAAGAAGAAACATTTGAACTGCAACAGTAGATTGACATTACATTTGGAAGTTTTGTTGTCTAAAGACAGCAGAGCACAAGTTTTCTGAAGACATCTGTTATGATTCAGAGTCTGACAACTGTCAGCAGTGAAACATTCATAGCTGATCCATCCCCTGGGAAATGAGATAGCCTAAGGTCAATGTCAGCTCTATAATACCATGACTTGACTTATTTATGAGTTTTTCCTGAAACTAGATTTCTGTCAGAAAGGTGTTTAAAAAGCATTTCAAAACTGGAAAGAAAATATGAGGAAAAAAAGACTTTAATATAGAGACATGCCAACTTTGTTCCAGGAGGCTCCTAACTTGCAAATCACCAATGGCTGGGAGAACGCATAGGGGAACCAGCCCTATGTTTTTCTTGTGAATTCTACATTGCACAGGATTGACGTTAACTTTTCCTCCATAGAACAACATTCAGTGGCTCTCTCTGTTTCACAGGCTCGTGGATTTTCTGGTGCTTCCCTACCCAGGTATTGTGCTCAGCAGTAAGTGACCTAAGCGTGCAGGGCTCATTACAGCATCATTTCAGCGATCTTTCTGTGTGGCTGCCACATTTACAACCTATGACCAACAGCGTAGAGAAGTACAGAGAAACTAACTACAAAGGTTGATGTTGAAGTCACAGCACACTGATTTCTTAACCTCAAAGGCAAAACAGGTAAAGGATTATAAGAGACGTGAAAAGCACAGCAGAAAAAAAAAAAAAAGAACTGTAATGCACAAGGGGTATAGCATTTATCACTTAATACACCACTTCTGTAAACCATCATTCATCCAGCTGCAAGCTTCTGCAAATCCTATCGGTACACGAGCTGTCAACACAAACTGCAGTGGTAACGTACACAGCTAGCACGTGCTGACAAACATGCACATCCTCTCCCAGCCAGGTACTGTCACCTATTGCATGTGGGACTGGTGCAGACAAACTTGCTTGTAGAAACAAAGCTTAACAGAAAGAGTTAAGTATTAGCAGTTACAAACCCCAAGATCTGGTGAGAAGGACTCAGAATAAAGTTAGTTCTAATCAGTAGTGGGATTGAATTGAGTAAGAACACCGGGCTTCTCTAGCAAAGATAAAACATTTTTATCGTGATTGAAGATGACAGTTTCACTAACAGAACTTTTCTAATACCTTCCAAAAGAAACAACCCATCACACTGCTAAATAAGTTTATTAAGAATTTTTTCAGACTGTCAAAAAAAAGTAAACCAGGCAACGATAGCGTGTCTGCAAACAAATTCTGTCTAGCAGTCCTAACCATTCACCCCTTCTCTACTATTTTGAACCTACTAAACACATCTTTGGAAACATGGACAATGTATTTACCCACAGTGATCTGCATTTAATACATTTTAGAACTGAATTGTACTGGAGAATAAGTATATTGAAAAAGAATTTGGATTTCAAAAGGAAACTGAGTTATTGAACTAGAGCATACCTCATGTTTTAAAACAGTAATTTGCTGCCACTGGTCTAGCATAACATCTAAAAAGCAATGATAGTCTTCCTAAAATAAACTTATGTTTACAGTTTCCTGCTTCCGAAGGAGAAGCAACTTATCATTGAGTCACAGAGTAATTAAGGCTGGGAGGGACCTCTAGAGATTGTCCAGTCCAAACTCCTGGTTAAACAGGAGTTTCAACTAGAGCAGGTTGCTCAGGACTTGTTCATCCAAGTTTTGAGCGACTCCAAGGATGGATATTCCAGTCTGTTCAGGCAACTCTTCCCATCCTTGCAAGGAAAATGCAATTCCATGTACCTAATCATTGTTTCCTGTACTGCAGCTTGTGCCTGCTGGCTTTTTTCCTACCACTGTGCACCTTCAAGTATAGGCTAGCTTCTCTGTATTTTCACGTTAGCTGAAACAGCAATATGGCCTCCCTTAGCCTTCTCTTCTTAAGGCTGAGCAAACCCAGTTCTTCCAGCCTCTCCTCACACATTGTGACCTCCAGACCACCAACCGTCTAGGTGTGCCTGTCAGACACAATCAGGATGTCAACATCTGCAAATGGGGAGCCGAAAGAAAACATAAAGGGGCCAGAGACCTTTAATCTGCTAGGTACATCACAAGCTAATATGTGATTGGCTTTTTTTGCTGCAAGGACACACTGATGATTCATGTTCAACCAGTTCCCAACAGACCAGGTCTTTTTCTGCTGAGCTGTTTTCTAGCCAGTCAGCCCACAGCACGTATACTAGATGAGGCTATTCCACCCTAGATGGATGACTCTGTGTTTGCCTTTGCTGAACCTCAGGCAGTTCCTGTTAAACCATTTATCCAGCCTATGAAGGCTGATCTGGGCAGTGTCCATCACTGTATTGACCCCCTAATATGGTATCATCCATGGTCTTCATACAAATGTACTCTGTGCCATTGTCGAGGTCATTAATAAAGACAGGAAACATTACTGACCCACTATTAATCCACAGGGAATATCACATTTTTCTGTAAATGCCATAAACATTTTAAGACATTTGTAACTGTGCAAAAAATTGAGGTTTTATATTCACTGAAAAAATGACAAATCAGTTTGAAGTTTCAATCAAAAGCAAGCAGTATGTCATGAATAACCCAATGTTTTTACTTACAAGAAAAAAAACAACTTTAAAATTACACCTGTACTTTCCCAACTTACACTCAAAGTCAGAAACCTGGCAAATATTGCAAAATCTACATTTATCTTCAGATGTTCTTGCTATATTTATAGCAGAATTCCAACTTGAGGATTAACAGTTACCTGTGCTTACACCACAAATGTAGTCAAAAAGATGATGAACTGGCTTTCCAGTAAGTTCTTCTAGTTTCCGCAGTGTTTGAAGTGCAACTAAACCCCTGAAACACACAAAAAAAAACATACATATAATGGCAGTTTTATCTTATGCAGGTTTAATTATGCATCCCTTTGATTAATCAGAACTGATAACTGCAATAACAAGAAGCCTGAATATTTCAGGGAATAAAAAAGTATTGGTATCAATACTTTCCAGGCCTACACTAAAGAGAAAAAGAGCTGTGTATGGCTAAAGCTGCATCAAACCAAGCACCACCTTGCCAACACATCCTGCTGAAATCAGCCCCTCCTTGCTACAAATTATTTCCCTTAATACAAGTTTAAACTTGTAAACTTTTCCACAAGCACTTACAGTTTAAATATTATGATAATTATACATTGTATTAACATACTAGCCCCATATGTTTAAGATACTGCTATCTAGTGCAAACACCAGGTTTACAAAAAATTACAACTAACAAGAAAATCATATAATGCTTGAAGGCAACTCTACTTCATAATTATTTGTTGGCAGGATGCCAGCACGAAGAAGGCAAATTGAAAAGAAAAGTCCTTATAATATCACTGACCTAGAAATCTAACAGAAACATTACAACTTTATTTATACATGTAGGCAAGCATTCACATTTTTATTGAAAAGTAAACAGGCAAACATGCTTTATACTTCTGCCATAAGCATAATTATAATCAACTGCATTTACTTATTTGCCCAACGTTGAGTTCTACAGCTCACATGAGCCTGCACTTTTAAGTGAAATTATGTGACAGAAAACATTTTTGATCCTGTGCTGTTATCTGTGAACTATCTTTCTTTCTACTTTGTAGTCTACACTGAACTTTCAGAAACATCCAAGCTGACATTGTCACATGCTTACTCCTTACTGAAGGCAACTGATTTTGATGTAAATAAACACCATGGAGAAACAAAGTCAGCAAAACTATTTCTGCTATGACTTCATACTCCACTCTATCAACAAAAAGTTGTGAACCAGTAAACATTTGACAAGAAAATTTCTTCAAATGTGCCTGAAAACATAGCTTTTAATAAATATCAGATTTTAAACACTGCATATGCTTTCGCTGCTACTCTTTACAAATTGTGGTAGGTGAATAAATTCATGCAAAACTAGAGCACAAGTAACAGAGGACATGTGATACGTCCATTTAATAAAAGCAGATGTTGGTAGTAGGTAAAGAAATATAAACAAAAAGCTCTGCGAGAAGGGCTTTCACCATTAGCCTATTCATTCTTTCATGTGACTAGTCCTGCTAAGGCACATTGTCCTCTAGAAGGGTACAAGAACAGGTTTTGTCTTATTAAGCTGACATAAACATTAAAGTACAAAATACTACCAGCAATTCCTGCCAATTTTGAATTATGGAGATGAGCACTAAGTAAAATGACCATTTAATTTACTCATTTCCAAAACAAGAAAGGGTCAGTCCAAGAACCACTGATGCATGTAGCCAACAAAGTAATTTCAGAGTCCCAGGACTATTAATCCATGGAAATTTAAGTAAAAATGAATACAGAAGTAAGTACCTATGACTTGAATAGTCAAATGTAACAGAACCGTAAATCAGACTTTGCATGTTTAGGCACAAAACTGTCAAAGAGAAACTGAAATTCTATTTACAGTTACACTATGAAGAGATATACGAGCATATATTAAAAACAAGTTTTACCTTGTTCCTCCTCCATCAATAGCAAGGACTCGAATTCCCCAGCCTTTCACAGGGTCTGTATATCCAATTATTGCTAAAGTCTCTCTAACAGCAGCCTGAAGACTTTCGTCATTTGCTTGTCTCAGTCGCAGGAGGCATGGAATTACTTTTTCCTATAGTTATGATAAAAGATGTTTGTAGTTATCGAAATGCTTATACCAAAGGAATTCACACTCATATTCACTAGTTTCACATTTTAGAATTAAAGTAGTATATGAGTTACAAGAAAACTTCTTTAAGCCTGTATTTACCCATCTCTATATCTACCAAGGGGAAGAAATGACTCCAATATTATGTTGTACATCCCTTTTTGTTAAAAATAACCAGCTCTCACAACTCATCAATCAAGCTGAAATTAAAATCCTTCTAATAACTATAAAAGCTAAGCTTACTGTTGTTTTATTTTTTTTTAGTTATTTAACCAGCAGTTTAGTTTTGTGGACATTAATGTCACATTTCCCAAATAGAAACTCCAGTATTGAGCACATGAAGTACAACTCAAAGCACAGATTTTAATTATTAAATATCACACTGATTCAAAGTAGGAAGTGCCTTCAAAGTATATTAATATCAAAACAAAACTTAAAATTCTTCACACTGACTGTTAAATTTGGAATTATTATCACAAAGATATATTATAATCAACATGGGAGTAGTGAGTGCACTCTCTCATAATAAAATATTTCACAACTATTCATGTGCACGTCTGACCAGTGCCCAGCCAGGGTAATTCTCCTGGCCTGAACTCCATCCAGCAATTTTACAATCCATGTCACCCAACTGTCACATCTTGTGGAAAAACACATGGAACTGACAAACACCTGATTGGGCTAGAACAGCCTACCACCCACCTCCTGTCCTCACTGCATGCAGGAAAGACAACGAACAGAACTAGATTACGTAAAGTTCTTTGATTTCTACACTCCACTCCTGTCCTTTCTTTGAAGGGAGCATGCAAAGAAGCATCAAAACTGTTACACATATGTAGATCAACCGTACAGTACATTCCCGTCTGGTCAATTGCGAAAGAGAACACAGCGTACGACCTTCATCTACCACTAGAATAAGCTATATTATCTACCCACATGACAATGCTGTATGCTTCTAAATTAAACACAGCAATCTTAACAGCCTTAGGCTAGACTACTGATAGTTTGCATAATGAATCTACTTGAACCAGCTAAATAAAAAGCTAAAAGATATTCACACCATAATCTTTACAAGAAGAAAATATGCCTAGCCCACAAAAGCACAGAAGAAAGTTTTATGTCATTCTATAAGAATACCTCTGTCAGATATTTATTGCTTGTCTAAGCATAAAGATTATTTGCACCTTAATTGCAACTCCTCTGCTCTCTGGAAATTCCAGAAGATGATAAGTCAGTTCTTCAACCCTGCTGATACAGATTCTTCGATTAGAGGATCTTCGTAGGGCTTGAACTAAAGCTCGAGTCCTGTTATCAATACTCACTCGTGCAATGATCTAAAACAGATAAGAGTTATACAAAGAACATAAAGCTACTCTAAAATATGTATACAATTTATCAAGACTAATTCCAAAAGGTTATTTTAAGATTTCACAGAAGTCCTGGACAGCATGTCGTACAAGCATGTCTTAAACAGAAGCAGGCCTTGTTTACAAGGAAATAAATAAAGAATTCTTAGAACAACCAGACACCAAACAAACTGGCGTCAGGATTTCTGACTGGGAGAATTGTCAGGGCAACTCCAAAATGATTGGACCACGAAACAGTATGTTACTGTCACTGCAGCCAAAAAAAAACAACTAGAGCTACAATGTATATAAATATGAACTATATGTATATACATGTAAATACATCTATACAGACACATTCTTACATAAAATATACCTATGCACAGAAATAATATATGTAAAAACAGTAAACAAAGACTTGCCTTTTCTCTCTGAATGGACAGATGCTTTTCCCGGTCTTCTGCTGTCTTAGTCTCTTTTGCTTTGTCTTCCTCATCCTTCTCAGACCCTTCTTGCTCTATCTGTTTACTCTTTTCTGGTGCAGCAACTTTTGTTTCCGACCTTAACTTGGGCACCAACCCACCAATGTAACTGTCTACAAAAGCTTGTACGCTGTTACTGGGATAAGAAAGAAAGTTTGCAATACTTTTCTTAGTGGAAATTGGAAGAGCAGTACTTGTCTTTTCAGCATCCTGAGTCTCTGTTTCAGGAGACACAGTAGCTGTTGAAGTCACTGTCTTTTCTTCAGTAATTACAGTATTTTCTGATGAACCAAGCTTATTTGTCACTTCACTTTTAGAGTCCTGTAACAAAGCATTCCTCTTTTTATCTTGATCCATAACGGAATTATTACTGAAGTACCAGTTGATATGGTCAGCTACAAAGTTGTAAGTCTCTCCAAAACTTGTAGAAAGGTAGCTTATGTGAAAAAGTTGGGTTTTAGAGGCTGAATCTTCTGGAGTATCTTGATGAGCTCCACTTGAGTTTTTTAGCATAGACTCCAAGCTTTCGTTTGCATCAGTGCATTTCCTGGCAGCTAGGCCTCTGTTGCAATCCTCCTGAGTTCTGGCATCTGAAATTTGTTTACCATTTTCCAGACTGGCACTGAGGTTATTTTCATCTGCATTACTTTTAGTTGTTTTTCCTAGAGTACCTGAGTGTGACTTTAACCGAGCTATCCGCGACACCAGTTCACTGTGAGTGCCAGACACAGCCTTTGAAACAGACTCTATGGTATTCTTAATTCGTGACATGCGATTGTTCACTTTTGTAAGTCCTTTGGAAGAAGAAGTCAACAGTTTAGAAACTCTGTAGTATAAGAAGTCATGGCTGTAAATGTGCTTGTTATACCAAAATGTCCTGCTTCTGGCCCATTTACACTGAGGCTCGCTTGTATGGAAAACTCTAAGATGAACTCCATGATTTATCCTCCAGAAGGCTTTAGGTCTATACAAACACAGGTACTTGGTTCTTTGCTTCCACCAAAGACTTTTTGGGTTAATCACAAAGAACAAATATGTATCTAAAGACAAATGAACTGTCATTACTTATAAATAATTACACCTTTCCTACGTTGCTTGTCTGCTTCATTCCAGAAAATATATTTCAATAAATAAGTCCCATATCATGGTGTTACCTGGAAAAAAAAAACAAAAACAAAATAAAACAGAAACTAAACAATGGCAACTCCAAACCAGCAACAAGTTAGACTGCAATCTTATAGTTGTTTAAAGTAGGTACAGCTTATTCATTGCTCCAATAAAGACAGATAAACATTGAAATTACGTAATCTTGTGATACCGAGTGCTCAGGACATTCGGTAGTGTCATTCCAGCTATTTAATTTTAACGCAATCTCCCTAAAAGGCCAGTTTATGTTCATTTTGAGGAATCACAGAATCATTAAGGTTGGAAAAGACCTTCAAGATGCAACAGCTGTCAAAACCACTTATTAGCATATAGTAACATGCCTCATTGGTCCTCCCAGTAAGCAGAAAGCTAAAAATCACTTGGTGGCACAGAGCAAACTGCTCGACAGCCCTCCCAACGAGCTGCACCTCTCCTTGGCACCTTACCTCGTGCCAAGAGACTGCCTTCCAAGCGGAGATGACATTACACTGCCATGAAGGACTCCTCCGAGGGCGAGCGGGCACTGGTTCTCTGCACGACCCTTCGGTACAGAACCGCAGTTAGGATGGACGCGGCCTTTACCCTCCTCAGAGCCCCTCATGCCCCTCAGAGCCCCCTCAGAGCCCTCAGCCCCAAGACTGCAGCCCCACACCCCGTTGCCCACCTCAGCCCCAGCCCAGCCCGGCGCTCCCTCACCCACGTTGTCCCGGGCTGCTATACACCCCCAGGGCGGGCAGCTGGGTTTATTTATTTATTGTTTTCACCCCTCCCCTCGCAGCGAGGCCGGACCCGCCGGGCTCCTCCCAGGCCCGGCCCCCTGCCCCCCGCCGGCCGCCCCCCACCGCGGCAGCGCAGGAAGCAGCTGGGCCGCGCCGCTGCGCATGCGCCGTGCGCAGCCCGCCGGAAGCGGCTGAGGCCAGGGTGGGCGGGGCGGTGCCAGGCGGGGAAAGGGCAGGGCGGTGGCGGGGAGGGGTGGTGCGCATGCGCGGGGCGGCGACGTGCGGGGCGGCACGGCCGTCACGGGCGGTGGGGGGGGCGTCGTGAGGGGAGGGGGCGCTGTAGCGGGGCTCCGCCCGGGGTGCCCGGAGCTAATGGCGGTGGTAGGGGAGGGCGGTGAATGCCTGGGGTGGGTCGTGGGGTCCTTGCCCTGGTCGTCAGAGAGGCAGCGGTTCTTATAGGGGATCTGGATTCCAGTCGCCTGTCTCTGCTCTTACTGATTAGAAAGAATAAAGTGAATTTCCTTTCCTGGTGTTTTCTTTCCCCGGGAGAATTTGTGTCACTTGTGTGTTACAGTTAGTGTCAGAATCAAATGGATTGAACTTCCTCCATCACATCATCCTCCAGCTCCTGAATACTGGATGAATCACAGAATATCCCAAGTTGGAAGGGACCCAGAAAGATCATCAAGTCCAACTCCTGGCTCCACACAGGACCACCCAAAAATCAGACCCTATGTCTGAGAGCACTGTCCAAACACTTCTTTAAGCTCCAGCAGGCTCGGTGCTGTGCCCACTGCCCTGGGCAGCCTGTCCCAGTGCCCGATCACCGTCTGGGTGCAGACCCTTTCCCTAAGCCCCAGCCTGACCCTCCCCTGTCCCAGCTCCATGCCGTTCCCTCGGGTCCTGTCGCTGTCTCCAGAGAGCAGAGCTCAGCAACTGCCCCTATGTTTGCGGGGGATTATAGCACACTGAATAATTTGTAGTTTTGACCCCTTTTTTTGCCCCCTCTCAGATTTTTATGAATCTTAAAGAGTACCAGGGCAAGACACAGAGGCAGTTCTCCCAAAGCACTTCACCTCAGTGAAGTGCTCAGTGGCTCTGAGAGCTGCTTGTTGGCTCTGAGAGCTGCTTGTTGTCCAGAATCTCCATGGCACAGCACACCAACAGGTCGCACCCAATTACTCAGATCTCTCCAAGGTCTTCTTCAGGTAGCTGCTTTCTGGACTGTGTCAGTCTTCTGCAGGTGTGGTCTGCACTCCCTGTCCATAGATGAATACCTATCTGTATTATTTAGTGATGGCCTACTGCTGGCAAATGTTTTTAAGACCTGTGGGCTATTCTTTAGTTTGTTGTGTGATTTCACTATATATTGTAAGGTTTGTTTTTAAACCAAATGAATCATTGAATCATCTAGGTTGGGAATGACTTAAAGGTCATCGAGTCTAACTCTCAGCCTGACCTACTGAGTCCCATCACTAAACCATGTCCCTCAGCACTGCATCCATCCATCTAAGGATAGGGGCTCCACCAATTCCCCGGGCAGCCTTTCCCAGTGCTTGACCACCCTCTCCACTAAGAATTTTTTTCCTGACACTTGTCACTTGAGAAAAGAGACTGACACCCTCCTCACTGCAACCTGCTTTCAGGTAGTTGTAATGCAGGTAGCAGGTAGCCCATTGTTTTGTGAGTTTCTTTAGGTAAAGGCCACTTATTGCTATGAGAACACACAGTACTGGTAGATTTTAGGCTATGGTACAAGAGTAGTTTCTTTGCCAGGGGTGTTAGGCTAAGCAGCTTCCCTTGCTGCACCTGCCGTTCTGCATGCCCCAGGACTCCTCCTTGTTTGTCTGCCTGGTGAATCAGGGTGGATCTTGTACCATGGCTTAAGAAGCAGTTGCCCATCTAAAGCAAGAGTCTGAGCTGGCATTTAGTAGGATAAATTGCATTCTTATGGTAACAAAGAATTACGCAAAACAAGATCAACAACTTCAGTAAGAAGCAAGTTTGGCCACAGGCTGCCCGTGCATATCCTGCCTTTCTTTGACTGGCAAATTATGTGGTTTATAATGCGGTCCCTTTTACCTTTACATAGCTCTGAACAGTCACCTTTTTCCCATAAGGTCTTTGTAAAATTCCTTTCTGTGCTTGCTCAGGCGTTCATTTTACCACAGAGATATGTACAACATGTATATACCACTGTGATTCATACCTGTCCTAAGGAAAAGATTCAGGGATTTCACATTTCAAGTCTAATTGCAAACCCAGACATTCTTGCCACACAGGTCTCCCTGAGGATGGCTGTACCTGTCTGATCTGATGTGTTCAGAGGCCTGTGATTCATCAGGTTTGCAAAACAACCACACAAATCAGCAAAAGAACTAAGAAAACACTGGACAAAAAGGCATACATTCATGTATTCCCATGTACAAATTCTGCGTCCACACCTTCTCAAACAGTTTGAGAGCTTAGACTTTTCTTTGCTGTGGAGGGGACCTTAAGAAGAGTTGATTTCAATTCATTTATCTAAAAGATAGACAGCTCCACTAGGCTAATTTTGTGAGTTCTTCTTATAGTTAAAGGAGAGTTGATTCATCCCATTTGACTAACTGCCTGCTTTTTAGGTAAGAAAGGTGAGTCTATCTGAAGCATGCAAGTGGCTATCTCCACTTACAGTACTTTTTATATAATAAGTAAATGAACACATTTATCACATTTTAAGATGTATTTTAATTTTAATAGGATGTACATTAGCTATTTAAAAATTACTTTTGCTTCAATACTTTCTATGAAAAGCCTCAAAGAAGGATTTGTTGTGATTATCAAAATTTTGTTTGCTGATCTCTATTAGATTGCATTCCCAATGCTTAAACTTTGTCAGAATGGTCGCTTAAATTGTGACTGTTTCCAGTTTAGGATAATACTTAAAGTAGTTTGATTTTAATTAGTGCTGTTCCTGTAATTTATTTCTATGTTTTTTTAAATAAAGTTTTCAAAATGTTTTCCCAATGTATATGCTCATGCATGTTTTTGTAGATAAGATGCAAACTGTAAATCAAATTATAGCTCAAAAATTGTGGTAAATCTTCCTGCTTTAATGAAAGAAGAATTGTTCTTTGATGTATGTGATTTCTGACATTTCAAAGCCAGACTATTGTGTCCATTCTGTGCCCATTTATAGTTACACTATACTTTTAAATTTCAAGAATTATTTATAGCATTCACAATTATATGTATGCCTTGGACTGCTGGTTGTGAAGAAAGTCATCATGCATTGCATCGTGAGGCAGTTGGATAAGAAATGGGTATTTACCAGAAGTAATTGCTCCAAACTTTGTCTTTCTAGGGTTCTCTTTTCTGATCTACGATATATGAAAGTTTTCTGTTTCCTTACAGTCTCCTTCACTATAAAAGGTGGAACAGATACACTGAAATGAATACATTCTGGAATTCCTTACAAAATTAAATTTTACTCTTCATTGCTATTTGACGGGCATTTACATAGGTAACCTGAGACTATCTCAAGGATATAAAAAGGGTCTGATTTTTACCCCAGATGGAGCTCTCCCTCTCCCTCTCCCTCTCCCTCTCCCTCTCCTCTCCCTCTCCTCTCCCTCTCCCTCTCCTCTCCTCTCCCTCTCCCTCTCCCTCTCCCTCTCCTCTCCCTCTCCCTCTCCCTCTCCCTCTCCCTCTCCCTCTCCCTCTCCTCTCCCTCTCCCTCTCCCTCTCCCTCTCCTCTCCTCTCCTCTCCCTCTCCCTCTCTCTCCCTTTCCCTCTCCTCCATCTTCACCTATCTCCCTCCTCCAGTGCTGCACTTCTTTCTTATCCTAAGCAAGTTGAAGCTTCACTGAACCATTGGATTGACTCCTAACTCTTGGACTGATTCCTCAACTCCATGACACTCCACATCCTGTGGCATGGATCAGCACCAAAGTGAGGCTCTGCCCATTACTTTGGACCCCTATTATATGCCATTTGGGCATATACAGACTTTTTTTTTTAATCACTTGCTGAGTCGATTATGGATGGTATCCTGGAAATGCAGCACAATCATCTAAGACACTCAAACAAACTGAAAAAAAAAATATCCCAAGGATTTCAAAGCACTAGGACAAATTAACATAAATTGTTAGAGTAGTATTCTACTAGTAATGGTATCCAAGATAACTGCTTAAATGTAACATCTTAATTAAGCCTTAGGGAAAATGCAGTTTTTTGTTTTCATCAACGTAGCATGACAGGCAGAAGCTGTGTAGTGCTCCAGTTTTTTCAGCTTTCTAAATGCAGAACACAGGCATTCTGCTTTTAAACACTAGATGGCAGACAAAAATGAGAAAACATTTCCCCTTTTTTTTGGAGATACAATATTGAAAAAATAATTTGTGACTTGACTGAACATACACTGAGAGTTCTCAAAATAATAAGAACAAAGACTATGGGACACAGATACTTATGACAGCTTGGACACTTCCTGCAGCCTTTCATTTGGATATATTTTTTTTTGGCACAAATACTGCAAAAAATCAAGTGGAACATTTCTACATTATTTTCTTATTGCTTTTTTATCTCAGTTACATCCCTTCAATATTTTTATCTTTTCAAAGAATGACAAAAAAATCTTGAAACCTTAAGAAGGCTTAAACAACTCAACCAGAAGAGAAACTTTCAGAGACAACTGTCCCTGCCAGGTGGTCTCATGGTTGTGTAATTGCCTTCAGTGTATTCAGGAAGAAGGCAATATAAAACCTTATATAAAACCTAGTATTTTTAATCTTACATAATTTTTCTAAACTAAATAGGCTGCTTTGCTCCTTATTGAATCTCAGAAAGTAATACAGAAGTGACATTTATTAAGGAGGCAGCTCAATTTCATGGAAATTGCTGTCATAAATACCATGTCATCAGTTCACCTATCAGCCAGTTAATATTTTGGGCTGTTACCCCATTCCTCTCCCAGATGTATCTTCCAAAAGAAGTGTTTGGCAATTCCTTTAGCACGAGGATCAGAGTCCCTGAGAGTACGTCCATGCTCAACCATTTGTCAAAATGTAAATTAATCTAGCTGTAGCACCACATGAGTGCAACTGCTCGCAGGCTGTGGGCTGCTGTCTGCACCATGGAGACAGCATTTGCTCTCTGTGCATGCACCAGGTTCTGTTAGCTAAGGT